AGTGCCGTTGCTCAGGTCCCGTGGGTCGCTGCGACTGTCCTTTCCAGACGTTTCGTCCTCGGTCACGAAGTTTAGGACATTGTATCCGGGAACGTCCCGGATGATCGGCTCTGTGCCGATGTCCCTACCGGGTCGGAGGTCGAGGCAGTTGAGGAACGTTTCCCCGTCGTTGAAGATGCGCTTGAAGTGCGCAAACTCGAACTGAGCCGGGTATGTGTATTTCTCGTCCGATGGAGGCAAACGGAAGTCGTGGCACTCGATCACTCTGAACGTGCTGAGAAGTCGGAAGGCCTGTTCCATGGTTTCGGCAGGCCTCGTTTGACCGCCTTTTAGCTCGTTTGGCACCAGTATGGGCAGCCGGAGCGGTGCCTCGCGGAGCAGCTCCGTGCACTGCTCCGCAGTGGCGAAGATGAACGTGCCACATTCGAAGGTATCGCCGGCCGCCACTCTCTCGCGGTACTCCCACAGCGTACAAGGGCTAAGGACCCTGACTCTCCGAAATTCCTCCATATAGGTCGGAAGTTCCCTGGCGAAACAGGATTCCTCCTCACCGTACTGCTCGAGGTGCATTTGCATGTTGCGAATGGCTTCTTCGTGGGCGGCCATCATGGACGGGACGTATGTCTGAAGAAGGCCTTCTACCAAGTCACGGGATCCGACGCCAGGGTCGGAAAACTCGCTACTGGGCGCGAGAATAGTTTCGGCGTCGGGATCACCTTCTGCTGGCTCGTCAGCAAGGTCGTCTTCTCCACTGGTACCGTCGGTCTCGGCGCCTCTTGCGTCCTTCGCGGTGGACAGGTGCTCAGGGTGCTTATTCTGGTAATGTTTGCGTCGGCTGGTGACGGCGAAATCCTTCTGACAGTAGGGACAGGTGAACCTTGCACCTGTAGTAGACTTGATGTTCTTTATCGGACCCTGCAGTCCATGTCCTCGCAGATGGGCGGTCCAGTTGTTCCTTGAAACCACCTTATCGTCGCAGTAGGGGCATTGAACATAAGTTTTCTTATCTCCGGGAACCATGAAGCTTCGAGGTGGGTCGTAGGACTGGAAGTTGATCTGGCGCAGCCTTTTCGGCCGGCCGGACCGAGGAACCTCGATGCGGTCGAGATGTTGTCTGGATTCGCCATCCGCATTCTGCCTTTCCAAGGTAGCCGACCTAGGCATATGCCCTCGGCTTCCTTCCTGACCAGCACCAGGCGCGGGCGATGCTGTCACGAACGCATCGTCCTCTTCCTGCGAGACCAGCACGCGCCCTCCGCCATCGACTTGCTCCGTGTCTGGCGTGGGCGCGGCGGCTGTGGTGCCTGTTGTCAGCTCCACATCTTCCATCCTGGCAACATCATCATCCGACGAAGACGACATGAAGTCCATGCAGTCCGGCGGCTGGTAGGTGAGCGATGTTACACATGCTGATGCAATCGCTTGGTTCGCGTCAGGGAATAGTGCTTCTTGCTCGGTTGTCTCACTGCTCGTCGAGTTAGGATCGCTGCTACTTGAGGTCGAAGGGTTACGTACATGATTGCGTCGTTAGGGTTTGCATCCATCGCCGTTTGCGCAATGTCACGGTGGGGTGGATACATGCGCAATTAGATGCAAGAGGACAGGTTGAAGATAGTTTCTCGATGGACAACGAGCCGATGTCGATGGAGGAGTTCGTCAAGGAAGCGGGCAACCTTTGTTCGACAGGAGAGAAGGCAATGTTCATTGACAAGAGAGAAGGCAATGTTTATCGACAAGAGAGAAGGCTGGATTCATTTGACAAGAGAGAATGCTAGGTTTGTTTAACAAGAGAGAAGGCTAGGTTTGTTTAACAAGAGAGCGCCCCAGTTTTGTTATCCAATATCAAATGGTAGGTTCATTTGTTGTGATGCTGGGCGCTCACGTGATTTCCAAGACGTCGCGTCTCGGAAATCAACTGTACAACACCGACTAACCCGAATAGGAATGGTCTAATGCACCACGAAATGA